GGCTTCATACCTACTGCAGAAATAGAACTCAGTCTCCTGGTTTCTATACCAGGGCCACCCCAAACTGCCTCTCATCTACTACCTGTGGCACTGCTAAATAATGGACTGGACTTTTCGTTTATATTGCTGTATGAAAAAGGACTATCAGCAGGCATCTAGGGTTTCTAGACTACTTTCCCAACCTTACCTGGCAATTCCCGGCTTTCTATACAGTATGTGAAGCCCAGACCCTACCTGTAAGTAACAGCTTCTTCCTTACCACCTCACCTCTACAAAGTATTTTTGATTTAAATACTATCTTCACCTAACGAACTAGAGTTTTTTGTTTAAAAATTTGGAAAATACAATTTTATAAAATGGGTAAAATTAATTTATACTTCATAGACATCTCAAAAAGTTGTTAATGGAGATATAACCACGCCATGCAAGATACAAAAAAGAACAACAGAAGGCTGCTCATTCTCTCCTCTGTTCATTTTACTTCTTGAAGTACCAAATAAAGATGTAAAACGTGATGAAATGTTTCATCCTTTTCTGAAGTGTTTTGACTATTCAGCTATTCTTTGAGAAAAAACAAACAAACTTAAAAGATTAGTAGAAATAGTGGAAATGAAACCGGGCTATTGCATTTTATTTTCATTTGAGATATTAAGCAATATTTTTACAGAAATGCTCTTTATATATTGCATAACAATCAACTGTAATTACACGGTTGTGTACCTAAATGATTTGGGCCTGCAGAAATCGCCTTCATAATTGTATATGTGGGACATTTGCTTCTCTCAAATTGAAGGTTAGTCACTCAGAGGTTTAGTAAAGGGATGGGAGCGCACTGGGACTTTAGAGAATACTATAGGTAATGAGGGCAGCTGTGTTATGGTAAGGGAAAAGCTAATCAGTTTCATTCAATTCACCAGTTACTGGAACTATTTTCAGCTTGTTAAACTTCATAATACAGAATGATTGCTAAATGAGCTTTAGCTCTGTATCTTTTGATGTGCTACAAATGCAACTGAAATTACTGAATCAGTTGTCCTGCAGACTAATAACCTCCAAAATAGATAACATTCATAATATAGATACATTGCTACAGATTATATTAGTGTTTAAATTCGTATCATCCTCGTTCCACAGGGCTTTGTGACTTAATTTCTTGGCCTATTTTCTGTAGAAAGAGGGAAAAGGAGGATTAGACAATTTTAAAAACTTGTGGGTTTTGTGCATATTTTGTTGGAGTTATAAGGGAAAGATAATGTAATTAGAGATTACATTAGATTATATCTTTTTTCTTTGCTACTCTTTTTCACACAAAACCAGAACTGGATATATGGAAGAAAATGGTGCACATAAAATACTTCTGTCAGAAAATGTTTTGAAGGTTTTTCTACTAGCCTAGGTAGATAAAAATCTAGAGTATTATGTCCATGAAAACTAAATGGACAGATAAATCCTGAAGGCTGCATTTTGGAGAAGTATACAAACATTACTAAAACATAAAAAAACCCACTAAACTGAATCAGATATAACATCCATATAGTCAATCATTGTGTATCATGGAGCTTGTTTAGATACTATTGGTAAGCTCATAGCAAGGTATGTGAAATGGAATCTTCCTTGTATCCTTGACTAAATAACATGGAGAGTCACATGGCTTCAGAGTCTGGAGCCAACTTAAAGTCTTTATGACTTTGATAGCTTCATCTTATCATTTTTTAAACCCTTGTGGTTGGTGACATTGCTTCAATTAACTCTGCCCACTGCCAGGACCGACTCAAGGTTGACTCAGACTTCCATCCTTCTGAGGTTGGTAAAATGAGGATTCACATTGTTAGGGGCAATATGCTGATTCTAAAAACTGCTTAGAGACGGCTGTAAAGCACTATGAAGCAGTTGTCATGACCCCCTCAGAGGCTGGTTCGGAGGAGGGGGAAGAAGAGTTGGAGCTGAGACCATCCAACAGGTAAGGCACGCCAAGGGCTGAGGACGATGCTGTCTTGGGCCCCTCAGGCATTGGGGGAGGTGGTCGACCAGATGGAGAGCCGCTTGCCTGCACAGACACAGGGGAGGATTGGCTACTGTTAGGCAGCAGTGGTACTGATAGGCAGCCAATCTCCTCTGACAAGGAACAGCTGACTACTCCTCTCAATCTAAGGCAGGCATGTCAAACTCGTGACATCATGTGACGCCGTGCGACGTATCGCGACTTTTTCCCCATTACCGGCAATGGGGTGGGTGCAGTTTCAGTATGATACATCCGGCCTGCAGGCTGGCAGATTGACATGCCTGGTGTAAGGGTAAGGAGAGTGGAGCATAAGCAAGTCCAGATAAGGGCTGCAACGCTACTCGGGAGGAAGTTGCCCCACCCTTCCTCACAAGGAACACCTGGAGGGGAGTAACTTAAGGAGAAGCCATGGGGAGTTAGTCTTTGCCAGGAACAATTGTTCGCTTTGGCTTACACTCCCCTGCTTTTACTTGTGCCTGTTGCTGTTTGCCTTGTCTCGCTTGGAAGATTGCTCTTCTCTGGTGGCCTATGTTTGGCCTTTGCTTCACTGGGGCTTTGGAACTGCTTCTTTTATGGGACCTGTTTCTTGTCCTGAGAACTGCCCTTGTCTTGTGCCTGGATCCTGCCTGGTGGATTGGACTTGGAACCCTAGACCTGCCCTGTGAGCGTGCTCCTACTCTGGGGCCTGTTGTTTGGAGGACTGAAGGTGATTGCCTTCAGGGTAGTGTGAGGGTGGAACCTTTCCGGTTGTTGGAGGGCCATTGGCTGGAACACTATTAAGAAGAAATAAAGAATTCTTTAGAGGCCTGCATTGCCTTGACCACCTGGGTCATAACAGTGGTATATAAGTCTAAGTGCTATTGCTATCTTTCCATAAGACATTAAGAAATTTGAAAACTACAAGGGATATTTTTTAGAATCTTATATTCTAGGAGGGTATTTAGAGTTGTCTCTGTGAATAGCTCAGTTCACATGTACAGCGACAACCATTTGTTTAGTGACTAGTACAACGGCACTAAAAAAAGGGATTTATAACCATTTATCACAATTATGACCGTTACAGCAGCATCATGGTCATGTGATAAAAATTTGGATGCTTGGCAACTGGCATGTATTTGTGACTTTTGCAGTGTCCTAGGGTCATGTGATCATTTTTTGTGATCATTTTTTACAACCTTCTGACAAACAAAGTCAATGGAGAAGCCAAGTTCACTTAGCAACCATGTTACTAACAGAATAATTGAAGTGATTCATTTAATAATTGTAACAAAGTTGAAAAATGGGGCAAAACTCATTTAACAACTGTCTTGCTTAGCAATAGAAATTGTGGGCTCAACTGTGGTCCTAAGTCAAAGACTGCTTGTATATTGTTTATCTCCTGGCTAGGCTAGGGATCTTGGAAGAAAAGGGGTAAATTTATATTTTAGACCAAGTTTATAGTTGTTTGTTATTAATACAATTCATTTACATAATCTATTCATCATAGTTTGTTATTGTGGAGAAAATAGGAGAAAGGTGTGTCAGATGTGTTTGCTGCTTTGAGTTATTTGTAAAAACTGGTTCTCTGTAGTTACTATTAGGAATATTGCAGTTATTCTTTAAAAGAAGGTATAAGCTTGCTTAGGTAAAGTAATCCCACATTACCAATATCAGACATGGATCAGATATCATTAGTTATTGCTGCTTTATAACATTACGAACATAAGACAGGAAAAAATGTTGATTTTCCTAGTATATTAGGATGAATATGGAGATAGCATTCATTAAGCTAGATTCTGCAGTATTATTTAGATTTAGTATAAATCTAAAATGTATATTAGATATTTTTGCATACCCACATTACTTTTCATACTCTTATCATGAGAAGGACTTGTTTTGAAAAGTATAATTCCAAATATTTCTTAGTGTCTGCAATTAGGTATGGTACCCTTTCGATTCAGGTAGGATAAATTTTTCTTTGCCTAGGTTTGTTATGTGTTTCATTAGAAGTCAAACTTGTCTTGCTTGGGTTTGCAGCAGTAGACTTCCATGGGCACCAAAACTCCGTTAAGCAAATTTATTGTAAAAACAAAAAAACCAATGAAAACCAATTAGAAAAAAGAATTCCATCAACCACTGTGCATCAAATGAAAGTCTATTTATAGTGAAACTAGTTCCAATCTTTTTCCTACCTACACATTCTAACAGACTAATAGCTATTTTCTTGTAGGTGGAAGAGATAGTTTCTATCTGTGTCTTGTTTTTCCTAAAAAGCCAGTCTTGATATCAAAACGGTTTTCTGGTGTCTTTGTATGAACATTCTCCACATTAGTGTACTAACCCAATCTTCATATGTTTAGTTGACCTACCCTATCCCACACTTGATATCAAGGGGTAGCTGTTACGGTAGCCAAGAGGAGGTGAAAAATGCTGGGAAGATTAGTGAATATGCTGGTAAAAAATGCACGTATAAAAGGCTCAGAGACCTGCGCCAGTCTTGCCTGATTTGTTCTGTAAGATTGCCCATTAAATGTCTTTCAGCTGAAATTACAAAGCAACAAAAATGCTTCAGATAGTGGTGTAACTGAATTGGAAACTTCTGGGTTTATCTATTAGTAAAACAAAACACATGTACCATTTTAAGTTCAGCCCCAGTGGTGTGCAGTTTTGTGAGGTTAGAAAAGGGGCTGATATATGCAGTCTCAATTTCTTCCTTTCATCATGTGTTCACCGCTACCTGAACAACGCTTTTGTCAATTTATGTTGCTGTTCATTCAGCCAAATATATATCTCTTTGTTAATTAGTACCTTTAACTGTTTCAAATTTCATGGTGAGGTGTTCTTATTTCTCTCTGGATTACACAAATGAAAAAAACATATTAACTGTTTCTTCTAATTAGATAAACACTTGCATGTATAATTAATGGTATGCATAATGAGTTTAAAACAAGAATTTTAATTTTGTATTTTAAATGGGAGAAAGAAATAACTATTCTCTCTTTCTTTTTGCAGCCTATAGCATTGTCTTCCATTAGGTGAGTACATTGTTTAATTTAACAATTAAAAATTAACCACCTGTACTTTTAAATGTATTTTGTTTCTTTAAAGACATCTCATATTGCTATATAAAGTTAACAGCTTGGAGCTATATTTATATACAGCAGTTTGACTATATTTGAATTTTGTAGATCAGCACATGTGGCCATAGCATTCATTAAGGTAGATTCTGCAGTATTAAGTTTTGTTGAGATGTGAATTCTGAGGATAAACACACGCCCCCCCAAGCATGTAACATTTAAATAAATGTGTTGTATATCTCAGCAGAGTGAACTGAAGCCCATTACAGAGTATATATAATGATATGTCACAGATGAAGTATCATCACTATGTTGATGATATCCAGGAGTATATCTACATCCTGGACAAAGTAAGTGATGTTGTGGATGTCCTTTCACAATGCCTGGAACAACAGACTTCAATTGGACTTTGGTAGGACAGAATGGCTGTGGGTAGTAGAAAGTTTCTCTGTATCCAGGAACTTGGTCCTGCCAAGACTTTGATTGACAGGACCTAAGAAGAGAATCTTCCCTACAAATACTCTTGCCCTTTGGAACATCTTACCCATAATATTGAGGCAAATTCACCCTCTTCTGTGCTGCTTAGTTGTACATCTCTGACCCAAACTGTCCAAGTGATACGTTGGATGTGTTGTAAAGGTCTTTGGGGAAAAATCAGCTTTGGTTCAAATAAGTGTCTATGGATTTTAGAGACTAGTGCCATCTTTAACTCTGGCTGGGATACACTCCCCCCTCCCCCCAGTCAGAATTAGTGTATCAGTTCTGGACTCATGGCTCCTGTTTCATGAACAAGTGATAGACATAGTCATGAAAGCCTTTGCACAACTACATTTTGGCCAGTAGTTGCACTCTTTCCTAGATCAAGATGTACTGTTTGTGCTCATTCATGCCTTAGTCACTTCCCGATTGGACTAATGCAACAGGCTCTACATAGATCTTTCCTTGAAAAACATACACCAATATAGGACCCCCATTGAAGAGTTTCATGGCTTCCAATGGGCTTTTTAGTGCAATTCAAGGAGCTGATTGTCACCTTTAAAGTCTTTGGTATAAGGCTAAATTACTTGTGGGACTGGTTCTTCCAATGGTTTCTTTCTCTTCCAATAGATCTGACATAGTGGGCATGCTGTGGATCTCTTTGGTGAAACAGTCTTGCCTAGTGGGACTTTGAAGTATAGCTTATCTTGTGCTTATGTGCTTGCTTTATGTATTTCAAAGGGCCATGAAGACAGGGCTCTTCATTCTTCCTTTGAAATTATATATGAGCCCAGCCCTGCTGGTCTTTAGGAAAGCAATTAACACCGTTTTATTCCCCCGGGCACTGGGACCAAAGTATTCATGGGTCTGGCATCATTAATATTATGGTTGGTTGCACAGTCAGCCAAATGTTTAGACTGGATTTGGCATTTTTATCTTCGTATTGAATCCTTCCCAAGGACATGGTGTTAAAGGTATTGTCACAGAATGTAAGCTGCACCAATAAAGCTGCCTTTTGCAATTGACTGATAAGAGATTTTGTCATTCCTCCTCCTCCTCCTCCTCCTCCTCCTCCTCCTCCTCCTCCTCCTCCTCCTCATCATCATCCTCCTCCTCCTCATCATCCTCATCATCATCATCATCATCATCATCATGGTTTTTTATTTTTATTTTTATTGTTATTGTTGTTATTATGTCTGACTCCCAATAATTCTGGGTGGTTTATAAACTGTTTTAAAAAAACAAAACAACAAAACGAAGGAACAAATATGACAGATATAACAAACCCAGATTGGAACAAAAAAAGACAAGTCAAAGGTTTCCATCATCTTCAACAAAGGTCTTCATGGCCCTTTGAAATGCCAGTAGGGTAGGGCCTCTTTGAATCTTGGAACCTCATTCCAGAGGGCAGGGGGTGCTTCAGAGAAGGACCACTTCTGCAGTTTCAATAAATAGCATTGTGTAATTGAAGAAACATGGAATAGTGTGGATACCTTATTGATGTGAGATTTATTGAGGCTTCACAGTGTCTTTTTTGTTTTGGTGATGGTGGTGTTTGATAATTGTATTTCATTTTTCTTCTTGTTTGCAACCCAGAGTTTCCTTTAGTAGATGGGTTGAGAAGATTTATTCTGACTCTAACATAGACTTTAGTGCATTCCAGATGTTTGGAACTACAACCCCAGAACTCCTGAATCATTTGACATGCTATCTGTTTAGATTTCTGATAATTGTAGTTAAGCTTCAGGATTTTAAGGAAATGGATTGTTTGAAAGCCTAAAGCAGGGGTGTCAATCTGCCGGTCCACGGGCCAGATGCGTCACACCAAAACCGCACCCACCTTATTGCCAGCAATGGGAAAAAAGTCACGATATGTTGCGACACGTCACGTGACATCGCGAGTTTGACATCCTTGGCCTAAAGCATAGAAAATTCAAGTGGACTCCAGAATCTTGCCTGAGGGTTTAAGAAGGAGACTTAATACTCTTCTTCTGAAGAATAAAAATGTTGGAACCTCTTATTAAGCCTTGCTTATTCTCCCTTTGAAAAGACATCTCATATGAATAAATAATTGAGGAACCATTCTGTGGTTAGAGATACATAGGAAAGCTGAATGATCTGTTCTAATTTTGTTGATACAGACAACCCGGGGCTGCTGTTTGCATCAAAAATACTTGTTTTAGTAAACTACTGTATTACAGTAGTTTAAAATTTGATCACGCTGTTAAGCTGTTCATGTAGGAAGTGATTGTTGGGAACAAGAGATGTACACTTTTTAGAGTTGAAATAAAAATGATAAGCAAGAACTGTTGCAAAGCTGCTAGCCTTAAAAAATATGGAGAATCTGAATTTTTGTCCTTGTAGATTCAAATAGTATATTGTATTTCTAGAGCGCTCATTCTCTCTCCTGCCCTTCTGACTCAAGACATTTCTTAATACTTTTTCTAAGAGCAAGAATTGCATAGAATCTGCAGCTGCATGGAAGAGACTGTGAGTTGTAAAGCTAGTAATTTTTAAATCACTAATCAGAATGAATGCTTCCTATTCCTGTAAGACGAGGAAATATTTTACACTATAAAAAAGAACAGCCCTTTCCTATGACTCTCTTAAGCTGTTTGACTGTTTATCACATGACAAAGCAACTATTGCAGGGTGCAGAAATCAAGATTTCCATTTATAAGAACGGAATTGGGTGGGAAAGAGATGAAAAAAAGGAGGTGGGGAAACCACTACTCTGCCTTTTAAAAAGAACATAATTTCATATTGGCCAGAATTTCCTGAAAAACAATTTGCTGATAAGGAGTTACTTCCAGTTTAGAAGCAAAATGGATTTCAGGCTGTTATTCAGAAGAACTTTCATTAATGAAAAGAAGGTAAATATAGTAGTTTGATTTAATTGTATATGATAAAAAAGTATATAATACTTTATAAGTTTAAAGTTAATCGAAATGAGAAAAGTAATCCAGAATCAAATAATGTAATAGATTATTCTGGATTTTTATATATTAACTCATACTTAATATTTCATTATATCTGTTCTTTTACAATGGTACATGGTGTAATTGTTCTTTCATTAAGGAACACGTTTTTTGTTTTATGTATACTGTTGGGATAAGGGATATTAAAGTTAGATATAGTTAATTCATAAATGTATAAATTAGGTTTTTCTTAGGTTGCAATCTGAAGATAATTTGAGACATGATTACAGTTTTAAACAGACTTAAAATGTGAGGTTTTTAATAGGTTGAGGAACAAGGTATTCTATGTAATCCATGGTTCCTTAAATCTGGTTAAAAATTCATAAATCAATAGAAAGATACTACCTATGGTGAACTCTCCTTTAGCACATAGTTTGTTGTTTTATATGTGTTCATGAATTTTGGCTCTGATTCAAAATATAGTGCACCTAATGTTAAGTTTGGTGACAGTTCTAGGGTGCTAAACAAATTATTAGCACATGCAGATACTTTCACCTAATAGGTGCTATAAGAATTGGGAACACTGATAAATTTTGAACAGGGAAAATTATAAATAAAGCTAACCTAGTTTTTCTTAGTATCTGTTACTCTATTAACTGATCTGAGTTGGGAAAGTAATGTTTAATGTAGATTTGGACAATCAAGTGGCCCATACCTGCATGTAGTTTCCAGTTTCCAGAAATAATCTAAGATCCTGCTGCTGAAATTTGGAAACAAAATGGCAAGATTTTAGTAATGTATCTTTTTGATCATCTGCTAAAATAATAGTAACAAGTAGATATGCAATGCTTAAAACAAAATAGGAGCAAAGATTAGATGTTTTTGTGCTGTTCAGCCAGTATTATAGCTACATTGTCCCTAGAACCCAAAACAACACCTCTTGCTATCACTAAATAATGTGCATGTTCAAACTTGAAAAAACAAACACAAGATAAGATGATATATGTGAGTGATCTTCTACCCAAAAAATACTTTTTCTATATGGGTAACATGCCTTTGGGGCAGATCTGTGAATGATGATGAATAATCTGATCCTGAGAACGGGACATTTTCTTGATTACATTTAAAAAATATTTTAACTGTGCCTTTCTTAATATTCATGCATTTTTTTATTAATTACAGTACTTTACTGTACTTTCCTATAAATCTGTACTACTGACTTCCCAATTCCTTTTTCAATTTTGTTGAAAACAGTATTTTAATGCGTAGATCTTTAGACGTTTGCAGGAAAAGGAAATGGGAAATAACAAATGACATTAGCTGTCTACTCCAGGTTTTTATTATTTTATTTTATTTATTTATTTATACTAAAACTGATGCATAACAGTGGAATGCTAAAAGATGCTAAAAGCATAGCAGTTGTTTGATGTAAAAGTACAGGAAACCACTGTAATACAGGGGGGTTGGGGAAATGACAACACCAAAGCAAGCCAATATATTAACAGATAAAGTTTAATAAATAATCAAAAATATATACCGTGGAAGAGAAAGAATAGCAAGGAT